TGAATAAATATTTTCAGCAGTTTTCACCAGAATTTAAACGCGATACCGAGGCACAACTCTATTCAAGAGATAGTGAAGAAAACAAATTAAGTGAGATAGTAGTGACTAGTAACGATGTTAGTAAGCAAATAGACAAACTAAACCTAATAAGTCACCTGGTCCCGATGAGATATTTGGAGTATTAAAGGAATGTAAGGAAGAAGCAAGCTTATGCCCTTAGCAAGTTGTTTAACATGTCATTAAAACAGGTGTAGTACCAGAATCCTGGAGGGATAGCCGAATGTTATGGAGATTTTTTCAGAAGAGGATAGATCACTATCTCTAACTTCTGCCCAATCAGTCTAATATCAATAGTAGGCCAAATTACTGGGAAGCAATCATTTCAAACTCTGTTGGAAATCACCTGGAGAAGCACAGATTGATCAATGATTTGGCATAGCTTCACAAGCGGACGTTCTTGCCCTAACTAATCTATTAACATTCTTTTCATCGGGTTTTTCGAATCAGTGGACGAGGGCACAATTATGATGTGGTTTTATCTCGACTTTAGCAAAGCCTTCGACAGAGTCCCCCACGAAACTAATTAGAAAGGTAGAAGCTATATCAAAGGTGACATCCTTAAATATGGATTAGGGCGTGGATTTACAGGACGGAAACAGCGAGTGTGGCATTAACGGCACTAAGTCGCATTAGACAACGTCACAGAATTAGGTGGAGTTCTAGGGCTCAGTACTTGGACCATTATTATTTATTATATGCATAAACGACATGAATATCGGCATTGACAGCCAACACCGAAATTTACGGTGACTAAAATAGGACGTGTTATTAAATCTGTGGCGAGGACTCAAAACGAAACTACAGGAAGAATCCTAAACAAATTTTTTCAAATAGTGCGAAAAATGGCAGATAGAATAGCGATAAACCGTGTAAAATTACTCATTATAGGAGATGTAAACAGAAACCAGATACCAGATGAACAACGACCGCATAGAAATCCGACTGCGAGAGAGATTCTGAGTAATGATAAGTGAGACAGCAAGCCAAATAAACAATGTGTTTTTAGCCAACAAGGCTGGCAAAGTCTTAGGGTTCGCCACAAAGGAAGTGTTAGTTACAAGACTTCTTGAGTCATCCTAAAACTGTATCTTGCTCTTGTGAGACCACCTGGATTACGCAGTTCGGTTGTGCAGTATTACAGAATAGATATGAAATCCTTGGAAAAAATTTCAGAGGAGAATGACAAGACTAATCATGGGACGCCGAGTATAGAGAGACAGTTAAGCATCGCCATTTGCTCCTTGAGGAACGTGAGCGAGGGCGACCTGATAGAGGTGTATAAGTGGAAGGCAGGGCTAAACCGAGGGACATTACAAAAAGAATATAAACTTCTCAGCAGACGACTCAATAAAACTGGTTTTAAATTAGACAAATTTAGATTTAGGCGTGAAATAGGTAAGCTTGCTAGTTTGGAAACAGAGTGGTGGATAAGATGGAACAAGTTGCAATATCATCATTAACTCGAATACATGGATTGTTTCCAGAAACATAGGTTGGATGCTCATATGAACAATAGGGGTTGGAGTGTAAGCAGGAGGACTTGCCCGTATGGGCCAATAGGTACTGCAGTTTCCTCATTCTCTGCAGTTTCCTCCATTCTTATGTTCTTAATCACTCCCCCCCTTCTTAACATCACTCCCCTTCTTACATATCATCCCCTCCTTACATCACTCCCCACTCCTTGCATCACTCCCCCACTTCTTAACATCACTCCCCACTTCTTACATATCTTTCCCACTTCCTTGCATCACTCCCCACATCTTACATCACTCCCCCACTCCTTGCATCCTCCCACTTCTTAACATCCTCCCCCACTTCTTAACATCCTCCCCACTTCTTACATATCATCCCCTCCTTGCATCCTCCCCCACTTCTTAACATCCTCCCCCACTCCTGCATCCTCCCCCCTTCTTACATATCTTCCCCCTCTTGCATCACTCCTTCTTACATCCTCCCCTCCTTGCATCACTCTTCTTCATCACTCCCCCCACTCCTTGCATCATTCCCCCACTCATCCTCCCCCCTTCCATCATTCCCCCTCCTACATCACTCCACTTCTTAACATCACCCCCTTCTTCTCCCCACTCCTGCATCATTCCCCACTCCTTACATCACTCCCCCCCTCCTTGCATCATTCCCCCCCTCATTCCATCATTCCCCCCTCCTTCCATCATTCCCCCACTCCTTCCATCATTCCCCCTCCTTCCATCATTCCCCCACTCCTTCCTCATTCCCCCTCCTTCCATCATTCCCCAGCCCTCAGCAACATATCACCAAGATTTTTTATTTTATTTTTTAATGTTATTCCTTCTTAGTACACACACAGACTTGTTACCAGGGACAGGTTCATTGTCGCCCGTGTACTCTATTTGATAAACGACTGTGCGTGTGTTTGTCTGGTGAGTCGCAAGTGCACCTGTCTACGAATGCATTCGCCTGTTTTTGTGATGTGAATGTGTTTATGTGTTGCTTGTGTATGTGTAATAATAATAATAATAATAAATGGCTGATTGAAATAACATGGCAGTTGCATAATTGGGAAATGGACCATTTGATGGACAAATAATATAGCGTACAAGTGATACAAATATGATATATAATAACTGGGGGTGTTCATTCAACAGGGCATTTAAACGTAGTAACAGTGCAAAAAAGAAGATTTTTAGGGAGTGGACATACTGATTAACTCAGAGTTGTTAATTTTTACAATTGTTGGGAGTGGGCTGTTCTTATAGCGATCATTACGTGCTCGTATTTTTTGTGTGTAATTACCAATATCTTAGTGCATGTACACGTGCATGCATTTGTATGTAATCATCTAACTTGTATCTGTTTATATGTGCAAGTGCGCTCTGACCTCCCCCCGTCAAAACGGCTGATGCATGTAAACAAGGTGACACGTGTGTTTGCAGCCCTTCACTCAGTCAACAACATTTGTTTCGACGCGGACTGCACCGCCAAATAGTGATCTGTATATTAATGTATCGTAAAAAAATTCTCCTACAGATAGAATTAACATATAATAGGTAAGGCCTTAAATACAAATTCTACAGATAGAATTAACATATAATAGGTAAGGCCTTAAATACATCAGTATATTTTTCATTGAGTAATTTAACTCTCCTGGGTTAATGTACGCGACACCGTTAATTACCAGTAGAGAGGTTTGCCTTGGTTGTTTATTAAGCCTGGAGAGAACCTGCACTGACCTTGTCACCTGGTATCACCTGTCGTACCTTTGCGAGCCATCTTGATTAAACTTGTAGATTGAGATGTGTGCCTTTTTACCAGGAGAGGAAAGTGTTTTTGGTTAGTATGCGTTTTATGTACTTGGTGTTTCCTTCCTCGTACCTTTCACTCCAGCCGCCAGAGTGTGATGGAGAAAATTTAAGTTTTCCTAATATAATATATATATATATATATATATATATATATATATATATATATATATATATATATATATATATATATATATATATATATATCACCTGAAAAATTAGCCCCAGCTTATTTCACCTTATGATCCTTCACCTTAACGTAACCTTAATCTAGCCTAACCAAACCTAACATAACGTAATCTATGTCACTTAGCCTAGCCTAGACTAACGTTAATGTAGCCCTGACGCAGCAATGGTAACCTAACGTAACCAAAACCCATTCCATGCAGCGCCTGGGTGTTTAATCATAATGTGTAACAAGATAGGGACTAATCTTCAGGTGAAATAACCAGGGAAGCTAATCTTGTGATGAAACAAGCTAATATTGAGGTGACTCCTAAAATATGAAGATACAAATACCTCTCGTTCATGGTGTCCTTGAGCAACATATCCTTGGGGCAGTGGTCCAGGTGAATCCAATTAATAATGTTTTCATTCTTACGCCGGAGTTATCACCTCTGAATACCAACACCAACAAGGGTCCAATATTTACATGCACAGATAGTACAAATTACAGGTGGTCTAGTTTAGAATACAGTATGTATGTCTGTTGTTGCTTTAGCGACAGGGCGAACATGTGTAGGTCGTTGTCTACTGGATGGCGGGGGTGGGGGGGGGGAGGGCGCTTGTGAAGTCAGTGTTGGTGGGTAGTTTTTCATGAGTATTTGGGTGTTAGTATGTAAATGGCTGATTGTTATGTATCTTGTGTTATGGATGGCTTCTGGGCTCCCTTACTCTCCTCCTCTATCCCATCTGAGGTCGTAATAGCCAAGCGTGAGGCCTTATCCTCCAGCTTCCACCCCTCCTGAGAAATTAAACCTCCTCGTCCTGAAGGGGTTTTTTACTTTTCGGGTATAGGGGTTAGAAGGTTGTCCTCCAGCTGAGTAGTGGCCTTATCATCCTTATGGTCACCTTCAGTGACTTGGGACAGCTCTGGTTGGATTTTTCCATAAACTACCAGACGGTTACACTGGGATGGGACACAGTCCCAGAGAGATAATACATACCAACACCCACAAGATGTTACAGGTCCCAGAAGTATGGACGCACTACAAACAAATGCAAGGCCCCAGAGACATGTACTCCGGGTGCGCGTCTTTTGGACACCAGGACCAAGAATGCAATGAAGACAAAAGTTAGGCCGCTTGTGGCGGTACGGCTACGCACTCCACCTCCTACTGGGATGTCCCCATGGCGGGAAGCGTGTATGATCTTCAAGGTGAAACACACCAAGAAATTAAACTACGGGGATGCGTTTCTTCAAGTGAGAAGAAACGAGACAGAAGAATAAGAAAACAACGAGAAAGAACAAGAACCAAAAGAACAAGATCAAGAATAAGGAGATCAACAAGATCAAGAAGTATAGATAGTGTAAAAGCAAAACAAGAAAAGAAATTCAACTACCATGACTTCGGCCGTAATATCCATCGGTGTTGGTTTATTTTGTTAATAGTGATTATTTAATACTATAATTTTTTATCATTGTTATTGTTGTTGTTTCAGACGGCCGGGCAGACACTCAGCGAGCTAAACTTTTGGACTGTGCTCCCCCTACTGGCAACTCTCCCCCCGCCTTCAGGTGAGCACACACACACTTCTGCCATTTTCTGGATCACTTTTACAAGAATCTGTATGTACCTGTTTGTACTCTCTCTCTCTCTCTCTCTCTCTCTCTCTCTCTCTCTCTCTCTCTCTCAATAGCCTTGAATACAGAGGTGCACTTATTAGTACACAGGGTGGTGTGTGTTTGTGCCCACAAGCAAACACTGTCCTTCACGAGCGCCACCACAGGCATTAGGCGGGGCTGACGATCGTCTAAGCTTTGGTCACACAGATTTGTTAATCAGCGAAGGGTAGAGGATCAGGCGATGCTGAATGTTCGCCCTGGCGTTGTTGCCTTGATACAGGTGGAACACAGCCCGACTCAGCGTTCAAGGTCAGGTGTGTGTGTGTGTGTGTGTGTGTGTGTGTGTGTGTGTGTGTGTGTGTGTGTGTGTGTGTGTGTGTGTGTGTGTGTGTGTGTGTGTGTGTGTGTGTGTGTGTGTGTGTGTGTTGTCCATGTGGCCTGTTTACGTATACTGTCCACATACACTGTCCATCTCCCCTTAACATCATTATGGCGTTCCACAACCTAATTTACATACATACAAAGGGAAGGTTATCCTTCTCGAATAATAATGTCACTGCTTCATGTGCTGACCACGTCTACAGATTCGGAGAAGGATCGTACGATGAATTAATAATCCCCGTAAGTCAAGACATAAAGAATTGCGTAACTGGTTGGCTTCAGATAAAACACTTAACTAACGTCCAGTTTGACTTCAGAATTACGCCGAGACTGCTCTGGCTAGATACGTTCATAAATCATCAGATAGGATTAAGGTAGACTCGTGAAGAATCATAACACAGATTTCGTACCTTGATTAAAGTTGTAATATAATTTTGTCCCTGGTGCTCAGTTAACGTTATTTAGTTAAGTCTGTATGTAAACTCGATAACATCCTGGGTTTTATTTATTTATTTATTAGTTTTAGCTTAAATCAATAAATTAGGCACATTTTTACATCTTCAGTTACGAGAAACAACCAACATACAGATCGTTAAGTATCGGGCACCTGGCTTTGAAAACTAGTACTGAGGCATCTGATTCTATAAAACTTGACCATTATTATTTATGCAGCACTTGTATTGGTAATCATGCACATACTGTATATACAGGACAATATAAACAAGGTTTCCTAAGAGGCGAGTTGTGAATGGGAGACCTAAACCTCTCTCCTTCCTTCTCCCTCTCCCTCCTTCAGGATGGTGTTGTAGTTTACGTGGTTTTTTGTTATTTTTCTTGTTATTGTTGAAGAGTTAGTTATCTCAGGTTTATTGACCATCGACAAAAGTCTTGATATTTTGTAAACAACCCTCACCGTTCCCACCCCTTACCTCTCTTCTCTCCCTGCTCCTCAGTCCTTACCTCTCATCTCCTCCTCAACACTTACCCTCTCCCTTCTTCTCAGCCCTCACCCATCCGTGCCTCCCTGCCCCCCACTCAGTCCTCCTCACCTCCACCCCCCACCATGACAACTTCCTCCTCCAGGTATGAAGAATGAACCAGGGTGTATCAAGGTCATAGGGGATAACCTCACCTCACTTTTAATAATTGCATTAATTTACATAGTGATGTCCTCTCTCTCTCTCTCTTCATACAGTATATACACGCGCACAGAATACTGACTTTGTTGTATGCATACTCTCATCCACAGGCACACACGCCTATGCATACTGATGTGCACTGGATATTCTAACGTACACACACACACACACACACACACACACACACACACACACACACACACACACACACACACACACACACACACACACACACACACACACACACTGACCATAAACACACACACACACACACACACACACACACTGACCATAAACACACACACACACACACACACACACACACACACACACACACTGACCATAAACACACACACACACACACACACACACACACACACACACACACTGACCATAAACACACACACACACACACACACACACACACACACACACACTGACCATAACACACACACACACACACACACACACACACCCACTGACCATAAACACACACACACACTAGAAAACACAAGTTACCTGCCGTCCTCGTATATATATTTTGTTTTACTAAAGTTTGTTATTTTTGTGGTGATTGTCAGCAAGCAAATGGGTCCGAACATTACGTCTTAGAACAGGTTTATCAACTGATGACGTGAGGATGCATCTTAATGTATTGTTTAAGCTACAACATAAGACATTGGTTATAATGGCGACGAAATTATAGAGACTACTTTAACTAGTTCCCTTCTTTTACTTCATACTTATGAGAAAGAGATACTTAGTGGCTTTGAGAATTTTGGTCTCGATTCTCAGAGATCCGCAAGACGTTTTTCCCGCGTAACCTAGGCCCTGGTGTAATTCATATGCCATATTGGTTTTCTTCTTTGTATGTTAGCTCAAGTGAACCGTTGAGAATCCATTTTCATAACGTAGCCAGTTAGTTACTTTCCTTTAACAAGGAAAACTGTTACTAGACGGGTTTGTTTTTGTGGCAGTGTTTGTGAAACGAGTTTGTGTGTTACAACACTCAGTTAATACGTAATAACCTAATAATCTCGCCGGTCCTGAATTGTAATGATATATAATTTAACGTGTAAAGCTTCTAATAACTGGCAATTGAGATAAGATCATGGCTCGATGAAGTATTATTTACACCGTCGGGTAGTTTATGGTGCACCACATACTGATTCTGTGATCACTAGTGCAAAAAAACAAAACAGTAGAGGTCACAAAGGGAGTTTTAACAGACCCCACTGGTCAGGATATTGTGGCAAGGAATGTTACAGAATATTTCCAGTACATTATTTGTTTTGTTTTGTACATTGGAGTTGATTTAGCGACGAGGTGCAAAATGTGGACACGGTGCTGTGTCATTTCACATTATGCTTGGACCTGTCCCTGAAAGGTTATAGTTTCTCACAGTCTAGGATGTAGTACAGTATTCGATTGTGTGATCATAGGTCTGGCCACACTTTACATTTCGTGTTGTTCACATCTCTTACTGTTGAGTATTGGTGTGATGATATAATGTATTACCACGTAGCTATAGTATGAAAAACTAAGGTCTTTAAGCACATATTTTAGATTAGTAAATACACTACTCATCAACAATTAGTGATTGCAAAAAGATACACATCTTTGGTTGTCTGTGACTGATAACAAACAAATTCGCTTTCTTCTCCCCAGATGTCGTCCCGTGAACGAACGCAGCCCTCAAAAGCCCGTTCTACCCAGCCCCGAGAATCTACCCATTCTGGAGATCATCGAGGAGGACCTTGAGGGAATGACGGTGGTGGAGGTGAACGACGGCCGATTGGAACAAAGACCCGGGCAGGAGAGACTGGTGGTGGTGGAAGCCTGCCAATATATAATCCCAGCTTCGTAATCTCCGTGCCTGAGGACTTTGACCATCGTCGACCTAAGTGCCCATCCCACGAGATCTACGTCGCCGAGCTCGATATGTAAGTTATTGTTGTCTTTCATAATATGTAAGTATATTATACTTCATAACATATCTCACTTCACGTATGATTTGTTGATGTTTATTTTCACATTTGTGTAACATTTTTAGCGTGTTAACTCCTGACTCTCCCACAGCTGTGTTAACCGGGCAGAACACGAGCACCCACCCGGCACGGCCCCAGTGGAAACGACGCTACCTTCAGAGCCACACGACCTGACCCAGCACCATATTATCGCTGTAGGATACGAGGGCGGAAAAGTGTCCGGAAGGACAGATCTACGTGCCCAGAGTGGACATATGCTCTGACATCCATCCCGTCGTCCTACCGCCGAAGCACACCAAGAAGAAGCACAGCATGTCGAAGGAAAAAGCCCGGAGGGATGCACACTAAGAGGGAGTTCAAATGAAAGTCTAGATGCGCACCAATGTAAACAAACACTGACTCTCTCACACACACACACAAACCGGCATGTAAACAAAAACATCCATGCATACACAAACACAATCATGCACTAATTTATACACATTTAATTCATTCATACATTGCAATACATGCCCAGATATGGTCATTTGCTCAACACACATTTACCAACACACCCATACACCCTAACACAAATACACATACACACACACATACATCTATCCATACACGCTCTCAAACGACGCACAAAACGCTCATCGTAATGCAAGTCTCACCCAGAAGACGTGTCAGTGAAAAAATAAAAATAATATATATATATATATATATATATATATATATATATATATATATATATATATATATATATATATATATATATTTATAATAGTGTCCATGATGACAGATATTGTAAATAACAAGTAACCCGTTTTCTTATTTATTCACTATTATTGCACAAGCTAGTGGTGTCCAGAAGATCTCCATGGACGATTCTTTGAGCGTTTATGGGTTCACATAATTTTGCAGTTCCTGGGTTTTCAAGGCCAGTTTTGTAAAGTGGAAGGTGATTAGGCGTTGGGTACACGAACCTGTTTTTGGCCAGTAATTAGGCTGGTCAATAACAAATTGTAGGCCAGATTTTGTGGTGGTTCTTAGCTAGGTCTTAAGTGGTTCATGGCTGTTCTTGGCCAGTTTCTTAAGCGATTCATGATTGGTTCTCGGCCAGTTTTTAGGTGCTATTTTAACTGGTTCCTTGTCAGTTTTATTTGGTTCACAATCAAATCTTCAGTGGTTCATGAAAATGTCTTGCTCAGTACGTAGATGGTTCATGGCCAGTTCGTAGATGGTTAATAGTCGATTCGTGACTGGTTTTCCACAAAACTCCTGGTAGAACCGTAAGAGGCGATCATACATTAAGTTTGAACTTTTAACTCTATAAGAAACGTATTTTAGTCACAAAAATCAAAGTTATACTCTATATTTTCCTGTATGTCTTAGAAACTTGTATTTCCCATGAGAGTCTATTGTATATATTTATATATAAATATAAAAATAAGATGTATGCTTATAGAGATGATGCATGTCCAAGGGTCTATGTATGTCCAAGAATATTTTGTATATTCAAGAAAATACGTATGTTTGGTCCAAAAGAATATTAAATACATCCAACTCAGTTTTGTGAATCCAGGACAGTTTTCTTTTAATCCAAGAAAATAAGTATTTTACATATTAAAATTTTGTTTGTCCTAAATAAGTTATTTACATCCAATAATTTTGTGCATCTCTACGTGAATGTTGTGCTGTATGTTATAAAAGAAGGTGTAGTATGTCCAATTTTGAAGTACAAAAGATTGGTGTTTTAAGGCCTCCAATATATATATATATATATATATATATATATTATATATATATATATATATATATATATATATATATATATATATATAGATAGATAGATAGATATATATAGATATATTATATATATATATATATATATATATATATATATATATATATATATATATATATATATATATATATATATATATATGTATATATAATTTCAATTCCCAGTGTTATAATTAGATGAATTATTTGCATAAGATTGATTTATATAAGCATATGATCTCAACGAGTTTGAGAATTTATAATAAATATAATTTATGAATAAAAAATTATCTTTAAGTTTATTGAGTTTTTTTATTTCGGTTCATTTTAATGTTTGTTTTTTTCTAGTCAGTTGGTGATTTGATGACAATACGCTACACTGACATGACCATAGTCCTTGGACGTGACTACAATTTTCCTGGCAAAATAAAATGAACTAATGTATTGAGATGAGGCTGTGTTGTGATTGGAAAGGAGTTTAATAGACACATTGACCGTGGAGAGTTGATCGTTAATATGGACTATGAACAAGAGGACTGTGCCTTAGTTATGTTTCTGTTGTTGTCAGTCATTACAATATGAACATCACGATTTCCATCACATTCTGTACAGTATCATAATTAACTTTATGACGGATTTTATAAGTGACTTCTTGTAATAATGTTATTACTGAGCCTCAACAACCAAAGTCTTTAAATGCGTAACAAGGTTAGTAATTACACTAGTCCAATAACAATTACAAATTATGGGATGGAACTCTCTATACTGTACTGTACTGACGATGGACATAGGGGATTCCCTTTGTCTCCCTGCCCCGTCACGCCTTCGTCGTCTCGCCTTTCCTCGGGACTTGCCTCTGAGCACACGGACGACCTGGTTCTTCCGTCACTGCTCTCCACTTCAGGACTCAACACTTCGCCTCTGCCGAGGTCCTGGCCACCGATAGTCACCCACACAAATGGACGAGACGGTACGCACCACTCAAATTGGAGCTTTCCTGCTCCCCCAGGAGGTGATGCTGAAGTTCACCATCATCACCCAGAAACTCGTCGTACCAGGTAGCTGGTTCGCCACACGTACCCTGGGGAGTCCCCTATCGACGATCCTCGCCCTCTTCTCCACAACTACTGGACATGGAACGCCGCATCAGCCCGGTCTCGAAACGTCCATCCAACGAACTCATCGGCACGGTGGGTGGGCCCCTCCCCCCCGAAGGTGAATGGCAGGGCCAATTCGCTGTCCTCTCGACCGATTTATCGGAACCCCTGAAAAATCTGTGGTCGTTGCCAATCGTGGAAGCACCGCACCTGGGAGTGCACGGGATGGTCGCCACTGCGGTTTCTGTGCAGGTCCTCACGAAACAGTGGAGATGCAAATCGAAATTCAGAACAAAATGGTTATTCCACAGTGCGTCAATTGCCATGGCAGTCACCACGCCTGGAATCCAGTGCCCACAGCGTCCACCAGCACTCGCCAGGGAAAACTTACACCTTGTGCCACCGCCCTCGTCTCTGACAGCCCTGTCAGCAAACCTCAATCCTATCCACCACCGCCTCTTCCATCCGCAAGGATTTCCCATTGATCTCCTCTCCTCTACCATCCCCCCTATCTACCCCTACACCCATCCTTTCTCCCTCCTCCCTTTCCCCCGTTCTTTGGAACAAGGTCGTTGCCTTGCAGCCCTGCCACACAGTCACCACCATCTCCTGCCCACCCGGACCCCACACTTTAATGCTCTCACCAGCACCACCACCTCTTACTCAACAGACCCTCACCGTCGCTTCTACCACCACCACCACATGCCCAGTCGGGCCCTCGGCAATCCCTCGCGCCGCCACTCAAGCTCCTGTACGGAACACACCAAGTTGGTTCTATGGAAACAATCACTCTCCGTCTGGAACGCCACTCAGTAAATCAACCTTCTCTCTCTGCCCAACTCGACTTTGTTTGGCAAAACAATTGCGACGTGCAGGCAACAACAACTCATTCTGGACACCCTGACCAACAGGGGCGCCTTTACCAAGCCCTGATGATCCGCCTCCTTCCATCTCCCGAGATGGAGAATCCATCTCACTCTCCTCCATTTTTTCTCGGCAGAATTTGGGCACCTCCTCTGGGCCCTGTCTGAATCCCACCGACTCATCTCACCAGAGCCCATTCCCTCCCTCTTCTTACAATGGAACATCAGGGACTTAGACACTCTCCCAGTTTGTCGCTCTCCCATCAAGTAGATGTTGCTCTGCTCAGGACACCATCTGGACAGTATTTCTCCTCCCGCCTCTCTGGCTATACTGTTTACACCCTGCCTGCCTCCCATTGCCTTGGGCAGGCTCAGTGGCCTCCTCACCCTTGTGCGTAACATCATTCCATCTGTTCGTCTCCCTTCACCTGACTCATGGACCCCCGTCTGAATTGCCCTGCTGTCTCCCTTACTCTTGGTGAGCTGGACCCTTCGTGTAGTCAATGTTCATTTTCAAAAGTGATTCTCTGGACCCCCAGGTTCTTCACGACCTCCATGATGGGATTCCCACTACTGTTCTCGGCGACTTTAACGCCATCCCCACTCTTACTCCCGGATCATCCCGCCATGTGCCCTTAACGGATCACATCTCTCACGGATTTCTTAATGGGGATGATGTTCGCTTTCTTTGTCCCTGACGATTCTCTCGCCCCCCATAGTTTTCCTTGATGTTTGGCTTACTATTGAGCAGTCATACCTACTTTCCTACCGTCTGCACCGAGCCTGCTCTGTATAGTGACCATCTTGTGGGTACTACCCATTTCAAGGCTCTCCTTCTCTGCCCCGACATCAGCTCCTTATCAATCCCCTCGCCTTCGTCTCACACAAAGATGCTGTTCTTCCTTTACCCAATACCTTTTCTACCTGGGCGGATTCCTATGTTGTCCCCAATCCGCCGGATTCTTACAGCGCCCAGTTTTGATGATGCCGTGTATGACTCTGTCCAATCGCGCTACCCTCCACGCCCTCCCCGTCACCCCGAAGTGCCGCAACTTCACTGGTATCATTATCCCTGCCATGAGACATCTCCGGCCTTGGGTAACCCGTGATCTCCACTCTGCCGCCACAGGTCTCGGTCTCCAGAGACTGGGAAGATTTCAATGGTGCTCCTTTGCAACTCCCGGGCACCGTCGGATACGTGAGAGCGGTTGGCTATCAGCCAGGGTCTCTATTGTTCCAGTCGTCACCCTCTTATGTATGGAATCGGATTAATGCTATACAGGAATTGCTCGTGAGCCTGCTCCCCACCCTGACCCGCCTCCCTTGCCTGCTGCAATGGAGGACTGAGCTGGCTTCCTCCCCTGAGCACTTCCAGATCAATGCAGGGAGGCAGTGCAGGCCCACTCCCGATGCGTCTGGAGCTTTGTTGTTCGTGCTGCTCCTCACTTCCCCTGCCCCTGATCATCCCATCACAGTTCAGGCTTGGCCAGTGCTCGTCGCTCTAGAACTTACCTCTCCTGGGGATGATCAGATAACCCTACTCCGTCCTCGCGCCTGGCCACTAATATTCCTAACGGCCCTTGCATGCTCTCTACAATAATATGTCTTATGAACATGGGGTTCTCCGTCCTAACTGGAAGAAATCGCCACTAATATTCCCATCCCTAAGCCGGGAGATCCTGGGAAGCTATCAAGCATTGGAACCTTTCCTGTGTTTGCAAGATGATGGAGAGGATGCTCCATCGTCGCCTTCTTCCCCACCATAGGCGGCTTCCTAACTCCCCTCAATGGTTTCATTCAACATCGCAGCACAACCCAACTCCATTGCTTCCTTTAATTGCCAATCCAGACTGCCCGCGTCTCCCGTCTTCCATGATATCAAAGGAGCCTTTGATACCAGCTCAGCCTGCCTCATTTGCTTCGAACTTGCTTGCACGGTTTTGGGGGTTAAGGGGAGACTTCTACAATGGATCGCCTCTTACCTCCACTGGACGTCAGGCCCAGGTTCGCGTTGAAGGCTCTATGTCTCCTGTTCAAAGAAATGAATTCTCCGGCACCCCTCAAGGTGGAGTCTGAGTCCACCTTGTTTGCTGCTCTCGCCACTCCATTGCATCTCCGTGGCCGACAGAAGTTGTCCTCAGGACCTGCCGACGATGTCCTCTCAAGCCCTGACTACCTCAGCATGCAGGGAGGCCAGCAGTCTGGTCTCCAGAGAGTGTGATTTACTTGGTTTCCTTCTTTCCAGCTGCGAAAACAAAAGCCATGTGGCACGGTCATGTTGTTACCTCCACCCCTTCTCTTATCAGGAACATACTTGGACTTCTGAATTAATGAGATAAATACTGGGTGTGTCTGCTTAACTCACACGTTGTCAGATCCCTGAAGTCCGCTATCTTCGAGACCTTATGCTTTCGGCGTCTCTCCCCCTCTCTACCATGTGGGGTTCCTTCAGTGCCACCATCCTGTTACTTCTCACCATCACAGTCCTTTTATTAAGTTCCTGTGTCGACTTCGCCACCCTACCCTCGTCAACATTAGTCAGACTGCTGTCAACCGTCTCCGAAGTTATCCAGAGAAAACTGCTCGTATAATCCTTGGGGCTTCTCTGAGTAGACGCTCTACTTCTCTATATACCGAACTTGGTCTTTTCCCTTACAGGATCATTGTCCAAAGTTTTACCTAAAGTGCTGTTTTTCCATTCTACAGGATCCTCAAGAGACATATGTCCAAACCAACTTGACTCCTGCTGTCGAGGCCGTACTCCATCTAGAAGAACAGTGGCAGGGTCCTCATCAGGCGCCAGAACACGACCTCCTGCCTGATATTGTTGTCCTT